GAGAAAAAGTGAAGTGAGTTCTTCCTATTTGGCAATGGTGAACTGCTAACTTGACCCAGGCTACATCCTGAAACTGCTTAAACATAAATAACCTAAAAGCTTTCTTCAGGCTCTCTACAACCTGTGCTGGAGCTCCCTGAGGGTTCTGACACCCAAGGGTGTGTTTGTGATGCAGGGCAAAGAGACTGGCCAAGTCCATACAAGTGATTTTTCTGTTTGCAGCCCTACTAGGTTGCTTCAGAGCAACCCTAGTAGGTTGCTTCAGAGCAGCACTGATCACTCAAAGACTCTGCTCAGTCTACTCCATAATACAGCCCAGCCTTTCTTGGCTCACATCTGGGTTGTTTCTCAACTACAAGAAAGTCACTCTGCACCTGTTTCATCTGACTCTGTTTCTTTAAGGAGTTTATCACTGGTTTTGCTTTGTGGTCCAGTTGTTTGAGCATGCAGAGGTTTCTTTGTTGGTTGGTTTGCCAGGTATTGACTCAGCAAGCGGGTGCATATTTCGGAGTTTGAGCTGCTCAGGTCTGGATAAGAGATGGATAGCAGATGTTAGTTTGTTTTTGTCTTCCAAGGCATCAAAGAGTCACTTTCCCTCAGTTTTCAGATACCATCCTCCTTGCTGGTCCAGTGAGCTGCATGACAGCACTCTGGTCATCAGTGCTACAAAGTTGTTTTCCACCAAATTTTCTGCATGTGTTGGAAATCTAATAGAAGGAATCCTGTCAGTACTCCTAGAGTAGGAAGTGGCTGTCTCTTATGGAGCAGTGCCCTGGAGAATTTATGCTGTATCATTCCTTTGTAGCTCACAGCAGCTGTTTGGCTGGATTTATTTTTGGGCAGGAGGGATGCGTGTTAGACAGTTTGAAGGAACTGAGTTAGTAATCAATCACATTTGTAACTCAGCTGGAAGCTCTCGCACTGGGGAATGTGTCTGCTGATTGTGTGATGAGAAAGCAAAGAGGGCAAAGCAGGGTAGGAGCAATCCTGCCTGAGCTGGATGTCTTGTGCCTTTGAAAAGATAGAGTTACCCCATCTGGAATGAGCAAGAAGGCTGCTTTGCTCTGAAAAATGATCAAGTTCTTCCTGTACCTAAGGCTCCTTTTGCACAGATGCACATAGAACTTCTGATAAAGTAAATGCAGTGTTACAAGAACTGTGCAGGGCCTTGGAGATTTACCCTTCTCTTTGCCTCTATCCATACTGGTATCTTGCTGATGGCAGTCACATATAGAATCATAGAAACTCTCAACTTGGAAGGAACTCATAAAGATCATTGAGTCCAATTCTCTGCTCCTCACAGGACTATCTAAAACGAAGCAGTATGACTAAGAGCATTGTCTAGACACTCCCTGACAACTCTGGCAGACTTGATTCCATGACTGCTTTCCTGGGGAGCCTGTTCCAGTGAATGACCACCCTCTCAGTGAAGAACCTTTTCCTAATGTCCAATCTGAACTTCCCTTGAAACAGCTTCATTCCATCTCCTTGTGTTCTGTCTCTGGCCCCCAGAGAGAGGAGATCAGCAGTTCCCTCTCTGCTGCCCCCCTTGAGGAAGTTGTGTACTGCTGTGAGGTCACTCCTCAGCCTTCTCTTCTCCAAGCTGAGCAAGCCAAGTGACCTCAATTGCTCCTCATAAGTCTTGCCCTTGAGACCTTTCCCCTTAGTCTTAGTTGCTCTCCTTTGGACACCCTCTAATAGTCTGATGTCCTTATACTGTGGTGCCCAAAACTGCACAATATTCAAGGTGAGGCTGCACCAGTGCAGAGCAGAGAGGGACAATCCCCTCCCTCAACCAGCTGGTGATGCTTTGCGTGATGCCCCCCAGGACACGGTTGGCCCTCCTGGCTGCCACTGCTGCTACTGCCCTCCACTGCTGACTCATTATGCAAGTTGCCATCTACCCAAACCCCCACATCTCTTTCCATGAAGCTGCTCCAGCCTCTCATCCCCCAGTTTGTACTGGTTGATCCTCTCCCATGTGAAGGATCCTGCAATTGTAGGGGAACCTGCATGGTTGCTCTCTAGTCAATCCAGATCTTTCTTTAAGGCCTCTCTACCCTCAAAGGAGTCCACAGCTCCTCCAACTTAGTGTTGTCAGCAAACTTAATGTACATTCAATTTCTATCTTTTTAAAAGCATTGAAGAGATCAGACCACAAGATTAAGCCCTGGAGAACCTCACGGGTGACTGGCCACCAGCCTGATGCAATCACATTTACTACAACCCTTTGAGCTCAACCCATCAGCCAATTGCTCACCCAGTGTATTATGGACTTGTCTAGGTGTGCTGGACATTTTGTCCAGAAGGATAGTGTGAAAATATCAAAAGCTTTGCTAAAATCCCAAAGCAGCACATCAGCTGGCTTTCGTTGGTCAACTAGGTGCGTGTTGGAGTTGCAAAAAGGGGAGGGGAGAGCGAGGCAGCCATGCCTCCACAAAGAAAACATCTATGTGACAATAGAATTGGTAAATTTTCTTTAGGAAGATCCATATCAGAAATGGATCAGCTGAGAAATTCTGTAGTAAAAGTCTGTGAGTAGAAAGATTCATTTCAAGAAGGATGTATCATCTTCCTTAAGTAGGTGGTGGGAGCCTTTTTGCAATCCCATTGATTGTTTGATGTCAAAATGGGAGACATCTTTCAGTAATATTGTCATGTCTCTGTACTGAACCTTTAAATACATCCCTCATTCATGTTCTTTTATACACTCTATGTAATAATTCACTTTCAAATTGATGCTAATTAGAACTAAACTTCCAGCCTGGATATAGTGTTTTAAACCAGAGAAGAATGTCTTTGTGCTGCTGAAATCTAGTTGTCCTTGTAGTGGGAAAATTCCTGGAAAATATTACAGAGCAGAACAATAAATTACTATGGGATGTACCTGGTAGCATTTTAGAACTGTAGCTTACAGAGGTGATACGTGTTTGTTACTGACTGCTGCCATTTTAATCATTCACTCTTTTGGACACCTTACCTTACCTTACCCAGTAGTAAGCACAGTAATAGCACCCAGCACCAAACAGTAAGTCAGGTAGCACTTTTTGCCTTGAAGTTGCCCCACGAAAAGTGGGGGGCTGATGCTGCTGTTTTCAATATGTAGAGTGGGACAGGTGAGGAAAGGTGAGGAAAGATGCCATTCTGAAAGGGGAAACGAGAGTGTAAGAGAAATGGGGGTAGGAGATAAAAGTCAGGCTGGAAGAGACATGCTCCTAAAAGTGTGCTGACTAGACAGAGCACCCTGCACATGCCCAGTGTAGTTCATTTCTGAGGACACAGGGAGAAGGGAAGATCTCAGGCTAGTGGCCATATCTTTTCACCAGTACACACCATTAAGAAGAACAGACCTAAGGTGTGATGCTGCTTAGTACGAGTTCCCTGAGTTGCTGCTGTCCACCTCATATAGGCTGGATTTGCACATCTCCATTCTCCTGATACTGTTGATTACTAAAAATCTGCACAGTAGGGAGAGTCTGGATTTCAGGCAACATTGTTGACATCTGTTGATACTGTCCTCAGTTGCTGCCTTCTATTTGCCACAAAGTGATTCCCAGGCAATATTTTTCCCAGCTCTTTTTTATATGGATGCATGACATGAGCACAGCTGGATGTCTGGTGTCTTTCCTTGGCTTTCTTGTAAGCTGGCTTCAGATCCTGTCTTTGGATTAAGTCTTGTAGGGTATCCCAACTCAGTAGTATGCCTGGCAGCAGCCTGGAAATATCCTCACTGCGGTGTTTCTTCATGAGAACTTTTAGAGCCTAAGTGCCCTTCCAGGGGACAGAAATGTTCAGGATGTTTCTGTAGATCTACCGGTGAGCTTATAACAGGCAAGATTCATATTGTCCTAAGGTAATCCTCGCTGTAGAATGCCAGTACTGATTTCCAAGTGTGCACAGCAATGCATGAATTCACTTTAGCTGTGCACCAACACTTCAGCAAAGAGGTGACATCTGGGTGTTAAGACCCTCACGTGGGGAAAAAACAAAGTAATCATGGAGGTTGGCCCCACAGGATAGAAGTCATCACTGAGTGGTAGGTGGAAGACAGGTAAGATGCAGTAGAAGTGCACTCAGGTGAATCCTAGCACATCCTAAATGACTGCACTGAAAGCTTGTGCTTCTGAGCAAGAATGTACAATGCAGTTTTGGGCTGCTGGTGTATACTAAGAACCAGTGACCTCAGCATCCAAAACTTGAGCTTATAACAAGATATATCACTTAGAGCAAATTTCTGTACAGATTTTACTTTTCCTAGGCTTCACGGAGGAAAATTGAAATGAAAAAATATCAAGTAAATAATCTTGAAATTACTGCAGTACTTCTAACTCCCTGATTAGTGCCAATAGAAACTTCCAGTATAAAATTCAGCTGAACAATTCTGCAACATGATTTCTTTCTGAAACATAATTTCTTCTCATTTTTATTTTACCTACTTTACTTATTATTTGAACTTATGCTATAAAGTGTTAAAGTTCCCATGTTCTGTTCTAATCTTTTCAATCCACCAAAGAATTTGCTTGTGCTTTGACTGTATGGTGCCCCTCCCAGAATTAATTTTGTAAGATTATATTTTAATGATTTGGCCAGTTTTTGTAACTAGGACCTTGGAGAGTAATCAGAGAACATCTTTTATGCTCAAGTAGTAGCATATATACTATAGATCTGCCAACAACACCCTTATTAGTATAAAAATTTGTGTGCATACATGTCAACACGCAAACATAAATCTCAGCATCAGCACGTGTTGTGGAAGAGTGATCGCTGCATTAGCACTCATGTCTGGTTGTGACATTAAAAAGCAGGAAAATGAATTCAACAGGGATTCAGTTGTTTATGCTGTTGCTAAAGACATACTGTCAGCCTGACGGGTCTGGGGTTTGTGAATAGAGAGGCTTGGGAGTCCCTGCCTTTGAGGGCAGCATGTGTTTTTGAGGTACTTTCTGTGTTTGGTTGGTTTGCATTGTAACAATTTTTAAATAACGTCTGTATTTCTCAAGGTCCGACAAGAGTTAGTTGAAGAATATGAACAAGTTAAGGGCATTGTCAGCACCTTAGAGAGTTTTAAAATGGACAGACCTCCAGACATCTCTGTATCCTGTCAAGATGAGCCTTTTAGAGATCCAGCTGTTTGGCCTCCTCCTGTTCCAGCTGAACACAGGTAATGAGAGGCTCAAGCAGAGTGGGTGGAATAAAGTTGGGTCACCATAACTTTATGTTCTGCTTTAAATGCTTTCGTAACATGAAAATCATATTTAATTTACTCCTTAGTCATTTTTAATAAAGAATAAATCAAATTCATTGGGAAAAAGATATTTAAACTACAGTCAGATTTATTGCCGACATTCTAGAGTCACTCTTTTATTCTGGTGGGAGTGACTAAGTGCCTGGAATTAGAGTCTGCTGAAGAGGTTACTGGGCTTTTGCTGACAGTTCTCATGTGCAGGGAGAAAACTTTTCCATTTCAGTTTATTTAAGCAGGTGAATTCATTGATGGCTGAGGAGTCTGTAAGGAGTTGGAACTTAAGGATCTTGAAGGACATAGTGGTTAGAAATCACTCCTCAGCTACAGATAATATGACTTGTGTTTAATCCATTGGTTAGTTTAATTGCTGAATATGTTCTATTATATATAGTATTTCTTTTCTGTAACCATATTTAAGGTAACTTCAGTTAGCTAATAGATTTCTTAAAATAGATGCTTGTGCATTTTCTGAAATCCTTATTTTCACTCTAATAGAGTTTGGCACATTGTTGGAAACATCAGATCCAGTTTACAGACAAGAATAACATTAATCATACCGACATTTTTCTAACATAAGAGCAGAGAATTTTAACATGTGCATTCTCATATAAGCAAAGGAGCAAAGTAAAATGAGAGATTTTTGTTAATGGAAACAATTGCCAAGTTTATTTATAGTTTTCTGCACTTTATGATTATCAAACAGATCTTTGCTTTTCAAAAAACCCTAAGAAGGTAAGTGTAAAATAATATTAATGCTGATTGCTTTTGTGAGTGGTAGAAATGACTACCAGAATTTTTGTGGTAATGTTATGTAAAGTTCAAGATGTATTTACTTATTCTTTATCTTTCTTAGATACAATATCGTTGTATCGTTTCTTAGAGGTAGAGGTCCAATAGTTCATCTGCTTTTTTAAAGCTGAAATTTAAATCTTGAGCAAATAAGGAAGGAAAATTAGCCACTGTTCTATGCTGTTAAGTTTGAAGAAAATGCATACAAAGCAAAATGTTGCAGTTGTATCCAATAGTGTGTTTAAGAATGTACTGTTTTTAAGCCATCTTCCAGGAAAATGTTTTTGGAGTTAACAAATTCTGAGTTACTCAAAACAGGAATTAGAAAAAGATTTAATAGTGGACACTTATTAAATTTGGGTGACATTTGTGGTCATTTATTTTAGTTATGTCTTTCAAATCCAATCCCTTTCAAATCCCCAAATCCAATGACTGGGACACCTTGTCTCAAAATGAAATTCTTTCTGCTTATGCTGCTACTGAGTTCTCTTTGACATTGTGGGTGATGTACATAAATATAGGAGGTTGCAGTTCAGCTCTATTTGCTTTTACTTTCAAGGCAATTTTTATGTTTTGATGTTTTCACCCAGGGGAATGAAGTCAGAGGTAGGAGGATTGTTTTAAAATCCTCACTCCTTTGTTTTAGGACCTGTCAATGCTATTAGACAGCTTTTTTTTTTTTCTTTTACCAGGAAAGTCATCTGATTGTGTAGAACTTGGGAACATGAATGTAGCCTAATATAGTCTCCTGGTTTGGAGTCAGCGGAAATTACAATTTCAAGACTTCTACTAAATTGTTTCCTCTTTTGTTACATGGGTGTTCGTTTGTTGTAAGTTTGGTTAGGATTACTGATCTAATAGTGCTGTTAATTTTTCTTTCATATTTTTTTCTTTGGGTGTCAGACAGAACCAGAAATATGTTGCTGGATTTGCATATATAGTGAGATGAGACTTAGGGGCCTGGCAGCTTTAGTAATAATACCAAAGGGAATTAATGAAAAACTAGAATCCTTCCTTCTTAAGGTTGCTCTCTTCTTCCTTTTTTTTTTTTTTTATTTGCTGTTTTTAGCATGTTTTTGTTGTGTTTGCTTGTTAGGGCTCCACCTCAGATAAAACGTCCCAACCGAGAAGGAAAGTCTTTGAGGAAAGACTCCCCAGGACTGCAGCCACGTGGGCCCGCAGGCAGAGCACATGTGGTATCCAAAGGTGAGAAGTCTGCAGGCAGCCGTGAAAGGGAATCCAGAGCTAGAGGAAGAGATGACAAGGTAAGAGGTGGGAAAGAACTTGGCAAGGAAGCATTATGATGGAGCAGGTGGCAAAGGGAAGCACTCTTACTTTTAGTCATTTATACAGATAATAATAAAAAGCTACAATAATCCTATGCAGGAAAACTTAGTGCTTTCCTTTTTCCCCACGATCAAAACATGTATCATGAGGATATTTATTAATAATGACAGCAAATTAAGAAAAGTTCTGTCATGTTTGCTTTGTCTTGGTGTAAGTTTTTTTGATGGGGGCAAGCATAGTGTCCTGTTGCTGGGGGTTTCTCAACCTCTGGGTTGGAGAATGGGCTTGACTCTAATCTGTAAGTGTCAATTGGGCATAAAGCTCCTCCTTTTCCCCCACCTTCAGGTCTTTTATAAAGATACTCATCAAAAAAGTGCAAGAGTGAGGCCAGTGCCCTTCTCTAGACCTTAAGCATTATGAATGGAGTTCCACATTGCCTCTACCATACCACAGTAAAATTTAGGTGAGCCTAGAAGTCCAGGGCAGTTCCATAAATGCATTGATGCTAGGTAAATCTGTGCCACGTTATTTGAAGTTATATATTTGAAAATTATATGAGGGAGATGTACTGAAAGAAAACTCTTAGCATCTTTCATTTTCTTTGGTTTATGAAAATGGTTTTGTATTTATTATAGTGTTTAGGAAGAAGCTTCTTGGAATGGTTTTGTTTTAAAATAAAAACAATTAATTAAATTAGAGTAAGTTTGAGATTCTTTCTTCTGAAAAAGAAGCAATGCTGAAGTGAAAGAAAAGGAGAAACAATGATTCACTATGAAGCAGTCATGTCCAAGACAGGACTGTTTTTTTGCTGGAAAAAGTGTCAGAGTCCAAATCACTGTTTCTGAGACACTTGCATTTTTAAATTGAACCATGGATTCAGCGCCAGGAACCTAAGGACTCTGTGGTATAAGTTATACAAGTTGAGAGTGTACTGAAGTAGCATTACTTTCCTGACAGACAAAGATACAAGACAGGCCTTCCTGTGGGGGCATACAGTATTGTACACGTCAGATGAAAAAGAAAATATTTAGGCCAGTTTTCTTCCAAATTAATTTGGTTAGTCCCTTTGCAACCTTTCTATTACAGGTTGCTTCTTGACAGCGCAAGCAAGATATGCTTTTTCCATCATGAATTGTTTTCTGATACACAGGAAAATTATTAAGTAGTTCCAGTCCTTATTACCATCAGTAAATAGGGCCAGGCCCATTTTCAGCAGTGCCTCTGAGTGACTGTACAGATCAAGCAATTTTGAAATCTCTCTACCACAGATCAGTAAGATTTAAAATAACAAGTGTGCATCCTACAAGCTATAAAAAACTTGTGAAGATCTGGGAAATTATTTAAAGTTTTTCCATCTATGTGGGGAATTGGAGTCATGGTGTGTGACAGGTTCACCAGATGTGCTTGTGTAAGGCAGCCTTCAAAGTCTTAGCTCTAATGAGGGTGAACTCTGCTCTCCAGGCTTTCCGGTGATGAGCATTATAGGGCTTTACTATAAGGAGCCTACAACATGACTTGTATAATACTTATCTCTGGGAATAATGTGATTAGCAACACTACTGCTGTGAGGTGGAGGAAGAGTCATAAAGGTGTTCCTTTTAATATGATACAATTTAAACACTGATCTTATCTGAATAAGTTGGTCACTAGGTGGCAGAAGTAAAATATGTCTACTCCTCAAAAAATTCCAGTATGTGTGCTCTTGTATTCCCCTTTGTCTAGCTACTTGGTTATTTTACTTCCTTTGTCTGAAGTATGTAAGTGAAAATCACCCCAGGTTACAAATTCTCATGCATTATATAATGATTCTTGTAAGGGATCCATGATTTGCCTTTGAAGAAAAGTCTGAATGAAAAAGGAAGTAGCCAGGTGTGGGAAATGAAAGAAAATAATGCAGCTTTCTATACTTTACACATAGGCATGAACATAAGTTTAACTTTCAGTTTTATCTTTTCTTAGTACAAGCGTTTGTTCTTCAGTTTCTAAATTTAAAGCATCAAGAAGCTTACTTTGTAGCCTAGTATGTCAAATCAAAGAGATTTGGTAACTCTTCACGTTCAGTTAAAAATAATAGGGCAAAACTGAAGCTTCAAATTAAGTAACCAGGTATCTTGTCTCATTCTAAATGTCTCAGCTGTATAGGTTTTGGGTTTGGGTACATGGCTAGGACTACTCAGAACATGTAATGAACTCTTCATTTCCTAAGACGTTGCTGTGGTATAATAAGCTATATGCTGTCCTGGCTATAATATCACATTGTAATGCTTTCTCTTTTTTTTCCAAGGTATACATAGGTATAGCATGTACATTTTAGAAGTGTTTTGCCTCGAGGCAAATGCCTTCTTTCACTGTTTCTCCTCCTCAGACCATAACGTCTTTTCATTCTGACAGTAACCATCTTGGGATAAGGAATTTTAACCTGACTGTGCCAGAAAAATGATCTTTTGTAGTGCTGTATAAAATAATATTGAACTACAACTCACCAGATGGTGTTTATCCACCAAACCCTTATATTTACTTGTCCTTTTTTCTTAAATACTGCTTTCAAGTGCTTCTTCCTTCTTAGTTCCACTGGAAATGATTAGGCTTATACTCAGGGTACCCTCTGCTGGAGCATTACCAAGAGTTTTAGCTTTTGTTTAGTAGTTCAACTTAAAGAGACAACATGAATGCTATCTGTATGTCTTCTAGAAATGTCATAATGCCATATCTAAGAGCTGAAACACTTTTTTAGGAGTACTCTTTAGATTATTTTAGCTTGTCAGTGGATAAGGACAGTAAATATTGTGAAGGATATGAAATAGTGAAGGGCTGCACTGCCGTATCAGTGAAGTGAATATTAAAATCAGAGAAGGTATGAATTAAAACCTTACATTTTTTTTGCTTCATTATTCTCATATGCATCATCAGATGTGAGATGAGGTAGTTGTATTTATGCGGAAGCATAGACCTCCATGCACTGGGACTGGAAGGCTGCATAATCTCCATCTGAAAATATTGAAAGAACTGGTTGGTGAAATTGCAGATTTACAGTAAAGTTTATTTGGTCTGCTGTTGTCTCGTGAATGGTGAGTTGTGTTAACAGTGCCTGTATTGAGAAGGGCAAGGGAAAAGTGATCCAGGCAACTGGAGTTGTTAATTTTATCTAAACAGTGTACTGAGTTCTACAACATTCACAGAAGAGGCAAATGAGGCTGTTGTACGGGAAGAATTGGATGACTCTGTGCTGGAGTCATGGAAATGGGATAATGTTCAGCGGTGCAGAGCAGCAGGCTGTGTAGTTGGAGACTGTAACAAGAATTTCTGCTAGAAGCTGGGAGCTCAGCCATAGAGGAGAAAAAAGATTTGGATATATCAGCAGAAATCGGATCAGGCTGAACCTCCGTTTGGCACATCACCTTTTCCTGTGGTGATGGGACGGGCTGTCTGCTGGAGCGAGGAACAGCCGGGTGCCACCTTTGGCTTTGGCAGCAAGCAGTGGACAGTGCATCTGGCAGATGTTGTTTGGCATCTGTGTGTAGTGGGAAGAACCTGCAGGAAAGCAAGACATCTTCAGGGCCCAGTGCTGGTCTTTGCAAATAACCTCAGGGTTTTCCTGTGTGTTTGATCTGTCTGAGGTTGACTGTAAGGGTGCAGTATGATATGAAGGTTGCTATGGATATGAATGTAAACAAAATCCTGGGCCCAGTTTGTTGAGGTGTTACCAACAGAGAGAAGAGATACCCATCCTGTTATAGGAGGCTCTAGTGAGAGCTATTTTGTGTACAACCATGCTCAAGAAAGATGTGTTAATATTAGAAGGAAGAGGAAAAAAAGGATTGCCAAAGTGAACAGGTAGTTGTGTTCAGCTTGTGTTCCAAAATGAGACTTATTTGGTTTGGTAAATTAAGGGAGAGCACACCCGTGATGCAAGTATGTTAGAGTGGTGGACACATTGAGGAGAGATCTGCTGAAACTAATGCACAAACTTAGTACAAGAGTAGAAATATCATCAATTTTGGAAATAAGGTTTTTGTTCCAGTGGGTTAGTTCAAGTCTGATAGCTCTTCCTGATGGAAAGCCCAGCAAATTTCTAAATATGTTATAAATGGAATTGGTTGCCTGAGATTATGTGATGGGATTGCCAAGGGGACTGGGTGGGAGTAGTCTTTTGCAGGCCTGCATACCTGTCTGTTGGCATACCTTGTTAGAAAGAAGCTATCACAGCAACTTTATTTAAAGCTGTTTTAGGAAAGTAATACCAGAAGAAGACATGAGGATATGACTGAAAAAATTATGCTTACTCCTGCTGCCTGGATTCAGGTGACATTTTTAAAAAAATCATTATTTCTAGCCTATGCTCACCTGCTGACTGAGGATTGCAGGTTGGACCAATTTGGGACCAGCATTAATAATCTTATTACACGTGAAAACTGCAATGACTTTAAATCTTGGTTTAATTCTGGAACTGGGAAAAAGAAAAAGAGGAACCGTTCAGTGTCGTGTCACTACAATGACAGCCGAGGTGATGCTGAGAGCACTTCTCGCCGCTGGCCGCCCTTCTCCCGCCCTCCTCTGGCGAGACGTGCCGCAAGGGCAGGAAGAACAGCGGTCCCTGGAGCAGCGCGTCCCCCGGGAGCGGGCACCGGGATGCAGGAATGGGACGCGGACGGGCCGGGACTGGGATCGGGGCCGGGACTGGGATCGGGGCCATGCTGCCGCCCCGCGGCTGCGCCGGGACTGTCGGCGCCCTCCTGGCCCCGGGCCGGCCTTCCCCTTTCATTCCTGTTTTATTCCACTGTCTGAGCTGCGTCACCGGCCCCGCGAGGGCGTGGGGCGCGACCTGCCGGCCGGGCCCCCGGAACGGCTCGGGGGCTTGAGGTGCTGCCTCCGCCCCGGGGAGGTGTGCTGCAGCCAGCGCCCTGCCTGCTCGGCGCTGTAAAGCCTGCCTTAGCGCGGAAAAACAAAACAAAACAACCAAAACAGGCAATTGGTTTTTGATGTGCAAAAGAATTCTACTAGGAAAACCAGTCCACTGCAGAGCAAGAGAAGTATGTAACAGACAGCAAATACCTTTCATTTCATTGTCCTGTTTTTAACCCTTTCCTTTTTTTTTTTTTTAATGGTTACACTTGGATTCCATTTTATCTCTCCTTAAATCTTGCAAACTCTACAGGGCTTCTCTCTCCATTTCCTTTCTACACCTGACCATTACATTTTTTACATGAACTTTTTGTTTAAACACAACTTTCAGCTTTGTTTCTATTGCAAAAAGCTGATTTAGGAGTAGTGAACAACACAAGGGTTCACTTGGAAACAAGAAATAAAAATAGTGGGAAGATAAACTACTCCCTCACAGTCATCATGGGCAAACAGCAACTGGGAGGGGTATAATCGCTAACCTTTTTATTTTTCCACTGCGAGGTTATTTGTGTGTCTCCAGCTGCCTCTCAGCCCTCCTTCGCCTAGGATGCTTTTGTCCAGCCAGCTGGGATTCTTTAACTTGCTGCTGATAGTGTTTAGAAGCTGAGTTAAGAGTCCTAAAGTAGCTCCCTACTCAGCCCCCTTGGTTAAAACAGCGCAGCTGCTTTTCAGGCGCCCCGAATGCTGCCATTGAGCTGGGAGGGGAAAGCGATTTCCTATGGAACGGAGAGGAGGAGGAGCGTGAGCCCTGATGCTTCGAAGGGAAAATGTTACTTCACCTCCATAAGCTTAACAGCACCGTGGAAATATTAACCAGAAAGTCTGGGCCATTTGGGGCAGACACGAAGTGTGGCTTGGTCACTGAATGAGCATGCTGCAGAAATTAGTCTAAGAAGTGACTTGGGAGATTCTTTAGGGCTTTTGGTACAGCCCTTAAGTAAAAATGACCTTTTGAAAGCATTTTAGCTGTTTATGGAGCTGGCCTGCGATTGAGAGGCAAGACACAGATAGTTTGTAGTTGAGGAAAGGAGATACTGCTGAGCAGGAGGGCTTTAATGAAGCAAGGGGACCGAATCTCTGTTTTCCTCCACTGAAGACAATGGGTGTAAAAGTTTCCATGTTTCTTTGCAGTGATGATGAATGATGATGGTGCCAGTTTTTTAACTCTGGCAGATAGTGTGGCAAGTGCAACATCTTCAAAATATGCTTTGGATGCTCTGGTCTTCAGCTAGGAATTAATGTAGCATTATGTCGTAACACAGCCACCATTGTGAGGCTGTTCCTGCATTCATTCCTTTGGCTGGCTGGGAAATGTGTCAGTTATCTGAAGAGTGGTTTAGCACCATTAAGAGGGTCTGGTTTATGCGCTAAAACCAACCAACCTACCCACCATGATATGTAATGAGCTCTGATGGGGTTTTGTCACTGTGAGCTGTATCTATGAAAGAAACATGATGCTGTTGTGGTGGTAGCAATCACAGGTGATCGGGGGACTCTTTGCAGAGCATAGGTTGTAAACACATAGGTTTTGCTGGCCATAGTGGTGCTGAGATAGCTGTGTTCACAGAATCATAGAATGGGTCGGGTTGGAAGGTGCCTCATCTGATCCAACCTCCCTTCTCAAGCAGGGTTATCCTAGAGTACAACATCCTAGTGCTAAAGCTTGATATTTTCCTGTGGCTTCTACAGAGGTGAACTAGACAGTCTTGCTACTAAAGTATATGTTGAAAGAATAATGTATTCCCCTGTATGACTTTCACTTCTAGGGAAAGAAAATACCACAGGAATTTGGTGATGGGGAAATTCCAAAATTTGATGGAGCAGGCTATGACAAAGACCTGATCGAAGCTCTTGAAAGAGACATTGTATCAAGGAATCCAAGCATTCATTGGTATGAGGATTTTCTCAATTCAAGTGGGTTTGCTAGTGTGGAAAAGGAGAGAAAATAGCCATCTTTTACAACAGGGAGACAACATAGTCTTCTAAAGATAGCCAAACAGAGTCTTTTGCTTAAATAGTTTATTAATTTAATTACAGTTAAGCTTTTGTTGCTAATTGATATTGTGTGCAGTACATCCATTACAGGTACTATTGAAATGAGCGTACACTCCAGAGATCTTTAAAGATACTGCTTTGGAGTTCACATTATCCAAAACAATTTTTAATTAAGCAGCTCTGGGTAACTTGGGGTGAAAAAAAAAATTGTCCCTATCTTCCAAAAGTGGATTCAATTTTAGGTCGCAGTATTATAGGAGTGCTCTCATGAGGCATAACTTGCATGCTGAAAGAGACTTGCATGCTAAGTGAAGAGCTTTTCTATTTTTCTTGTATAAAAATAGAAGAAATACTGTTGCATGGGAATCTTATACAAGCTTCTTTACTTTGCACAGGGATGACATAGCAGATTTGGAAGAAGCCAAGAAATTGTTAAGAGAAGCTGTTGTTCTTCCAATGTGGATGCCTGATTTCTTCAAAGGGATCAGAAGACCTTGGAAGGTGGGAATTTATTTGGTGTTTTAGTAAATGGCAAGCTGTAGCTATCTATGTATGCTACTGTAACTTGTGGATGCCTGTAACAGAAGGCTAAAAAGGTAAATGGGAAAGGTCAAGAATTTGTTCAATAAATCGTCTCATAATGATTTGTGTAAACTGCACTGAAAGAAACACCTGGAAATGTATGCGGCCCTTACAGTAAACAATATTTTTTTCTGTATTTACTCAGTTATAACTTGTTGATGTTATAATACTTCCTATGCATCAATGTGTGAGCATGTAGGGTATATTGACTAAAGCAGAAATGCTTAATAGACAGCTCTTCGTAGGATTATGGTGACCAACTGTTATCACTTCCCAGAAGAACTCAGTCCTTGGACTGTTTTGTTCCTGATGTGCCAAGTATCTCTCAATCAGACTGCAAACTGCAGGCTGGACTGTTCAAGGAAGCAAAGGGAGAGGGGGCTAATCTGATGATTTAGCTTTGCAGTTGCATTTGCAACTGGGCATAGTTGCTGCTGGAGAGAAAGTCAGAGGAGGAGAATGAGTTACAAATAGGGCAACAGGAAGGATATAGGACTGAACTGGCCTAGGCTGGTGGACCACAAGTGAGCGCAATCTGGGCCTTGCTTAGAGCTAAAATGAAGAGGAGGGAGGAGGCTGCTGAGCATTTCTGTAAAGAGCAAACAAAATTATCTTACTTCTGATGTGGGATGGATTGACACTTGTTTGGGGAATAATAAGTCACAGCTCAAGACCTTTTTGGTTACTGAGAAGGATTACTGGGGAAAAGAGATTCTTGCAAATTGTCTTATTCAGAGTCTGCAAGGCAGCGGCGTGTGTAGGGAATATTGTGTGTGTGAGTAGTTTCTGTGGTTTCCTACATTGGTTCAGCAGCATTTATTAACATTTGTCCTGTCTTTTCCTGATTGGTCCATGTGCTTCCATGGGTTATACTTAGCTCAGACTCAGCAGGAACTGGGAGATTGCTGCTTGAGGGCTCTTCATGGAGGTTTTAGAGAGTTGCAGGGAGGGAGCCCAAACCTAGAGTCAGTGAAAACCTAGCCCCAGGCTACAGGACCTTGGAATTTAGAGTGCTTGTGGGCAGTACCAGTGGCCTTGAGGTTAACCTGTAGGTTAACTGAGCTATCGTCTTGGGCAGAGTCAAGGTATTGTGGATTACATATGCAGGGTGAGATTTTAGTATATTTTGAATAGTTGAATCTCTTTTCTTCTTGACTTAGAGGAAGGTGATCCATACACTTATAGACTATGGGTGTCCTGTCTATCCAGTCTTCAAAATCTTTTAGGGGAAAGAAGAGCTCCTATGGGTTTTTTTTCACCTGTTAGCATGCTTAGAGGATGTAGTGGTCATCTGTCTTTAAGGCAGGTATCTCAGCAGACTGCAGAAAATGTGAAAAGTGCCTCTGGCCTTGTCTCCAGGTATTGTGGCAGTGGATAAAGGAACAACAGCCTGGTCTTTTAAAGAGTTACAATCTATCTCTGTGTGAGATTATCTTTTCCTCCTGAGCAGTGTCACCTCTGAAAACCATGTTGTAGACATGGAAAAAAAAAAATCTAACATTATTTCCTCTCTTCAGTCTGAAATGCAAATTGATTTCTGACAAGTCCATGAAGAGTCTTCACTGTTAGCCTTTTCCCTGGTGACTTGTGAAGCTGTAACTCTCATGAATTTATTTTTCACACAGAACAGCATGCATTTTCCCTACTCTTGACCTCTGACTGTGCTAGAAGGATGAGAAGTATTGAAGTGATGGCTGTTTCTTGCAGTAATCAGCGTAGCAGCAGGCATTTGTTGAGCCTAGGAATTCAGGACAATAATTCAGGGGAAAAAGGCAGCCAAAGCTGGTTTTGGATGTTCAGACTCTCCTGAGAACAATTCCCAAGACAGCCTTCACAGTTTCTGCCTGTATTCAGAGGACGGTGCCTGTCTGAAGGAGCCAGCTGTCTTCCCTGATTCAACACAAGTGCTGTGTAGTTGCAGCCATAGGTTTCTGAGTGTCCATGGGTTTGCTCTTTCTTTTTCTTTGAACTGTTTGGTGCCAAGAAAGCCTGGTTGCTCGCTGTGCTTCCCACTGCTCTGCTAGTGATTGTTACAACAACAAGAAGTAACCCTGCAGTGATTTCATCAAAACACTTACTCCCTGTGGTGCATTTCAGCTTCTTATTGGAATACTTTGGATTAACAGAGCCTTAGAGGAAGAATAAAGAAGTCTTTGTGTTTGTCAAGGATTTTAAATAGTGAGTAAGTGGCAGCCTCCTCGTTTGCAGAGAGAAAGAGCAACTTGATCCTATGTGTTTCTGTTTGCAACCATGCATGTCTTGTTTTGCTGAGAACTCGAGTTCTTTTATTTTTTTTTAACCGGTATTTCTATTGTCTCTATCCCCAGGGAGCTTGGTTTTCCCCTGGCTTTACACCTGGTGTGGCTGCTTTGCACCTGTATTACACACATATATAATGCCACCAGTATCTCGTGCAAGGTAACGCTCCCTGTAATACTTACACAGGAGGTGCAAAGCGACGGGCTTCAGTTTTGGCAGTGAACAGGATGTGTAACTGAAGCCAGAATTTTAGACCGAACCAATATCCAAAAAATGTCTCTAGTCCTCTGTACACCAGGTCCTGCAGTTAACACAGTGTGTCACTCGGGTCGTGTGTGATTTGAATTGAGGTGAAGCTTGTCTTAAAATATTAAAACACATTTGAAACTCAGAGAGAACAGTAAGTCGTCTCTGACCTGCATATCACAGGCTGAGTAATTTCACCTAGTCACTCGAGGTTGTATTTGCAATATTATTATAATATCAGTATAACTGTGCAACATCTCAAATCTGAGTGTCTGAATGTTCACAGGGAGCAAAAGTGTCCATTTACTTTTTGTGCTTGCTGCTCTGGAGCTTAGGAAACCTTGTACAGCCTAAGGAATGGCACTGGACAGTTAGCTGTAGAGATGGCGTGTGAACATTCCTAACTTAATTTACCGATGAATGTGTGTTGAGCTTGCGTTAGCTGAGTGTTAAATGGCAATAAAGGTATTAAGAGTTAATGGAAAATGGAGTACAGAGAGGCTATTGCTTTTGAATAGTACATTTTTGAATAATTGCATTCCCGGTTGATTTGTTTTTATAGATCTCTTCTGTGTTATTCTTTGTGCTTTTTGAAGTAAATTTTTGTGAGGAACAGATGAAATCTAATTTGCTATATGGCTTGCATTTAACAGATATTTTATTGCTGTGGCATTTTATGTAAGTTATTAATTGCAAAGCACATTATGATGTGCAATTCTAACTCTAGCTAATTTGATTACCCTTGCAATACAGTACAATTTTAGGAAACTCTTGTTAGCTTGTTACAAGATCTTGCAGTTCAGAGGGGAAAAAAACAACCAAGCTGCTTGGGCACATTTTCACTGATTTACTTAAAATCACAGTGCCCCATTCTAGTGCTGTACAGACATGGAACTGTGTGTTGTTCTTCTCAAGCACTCCTGCTGAAAGGGTTGGAAAGACTACCCATAAAGATGGCTGTATATAGAAATACTGTCAAGAGTGACTTACCCATCTCCATACTACAATCTTAACATGACTTCTTAGAGCACTGTGTGTCTAGCCAAAAACCTGCTTGTGTAATGATGGGTAAAGTGCTGAGCTGCAGAGATGTGTGCACCTTTCTCTTTCAGAGACCACAGATGGAATGACAGTCTGAGGACATGGATACCAACCTGGGACTTAACAGCTGGAGTTCAGTTTTCTAGTTTAAAGCTTTCTGAATAATCACTGAAGTTCATATTAGGCTTTTGTGAGACTGAGCGATAGTCCACATGAACCACAGTTGCTTATCTGTGAAATAGAAATAGCAGTGCAATCCAGTCATCCAACAGCATGATGAGGATGATGCTTAATCCAGGAATTGCTAAGATGCAGTAGTATGGCCAAGGAGCGCTGAGATGGGGAGATTAAACAAGATAACAAATTATTGTATTTGGTAAATGCTCTCATGCATACTTAAATATAAAAATCAACCAGATTCATACATACACATTGTCAGCATTTTTTTGGGAAATGTTTTTTTCTGCAGAAAAGTGCTCAACTGAGGAAACACAACTTACTGCAAAAGTATTTTGATTTCTGTGAAGTTTTCTTCATGAAGGGGCCTTTGTTCCAAAAAAAGAATTTACTGTTTTCATCTGTCTCTGCAACCCCTCATCAGCTGTGAAAGGCCTAAGTTCAAGTCCAGGCTCTCTCTGATTCAGAGCAAGGCTGTAAATCTCGTCTGCTTCCTAGGTGTTAGGTGCAGCAACAGTTACTGGGTTTTGTGGTTCTGACTCCAGTGGAGTGGTAAGAAGAAGTGATAGAATACTTCCACACTGTTCTTGAGAGTAGGATTTTTGCCTTTTGTCTTCCACTGATGATGATTATGCTACTGAACAATTCAAATCCAGATCTTGCCTCATATTGAGATGTAGTATGAAGTGTACCAACAGCAAAGTTTCTGTATTTGTTTTTCACTACCTTTGATCTCATCTCTCAGGGTGTTCTGATGGTTGGTCCTCCTGGCACTGGCAAAACAATGCTAGCAAAAGCTGTTGCTACAGAATGTGGAACGACATTCTTCAATGTGTCTTCCTCTACACTGACGTCTAAATACAGAGGCGAGTCTGAGAAGCTGGTCCGCCTCTTGTTTGAAATGGTATGTCCTCGATGATGTGATCTGGGGATCACTAAGGTGAGAAAGGACATCACTCTTGGTTTCCTGCCCTTCCAGTAGCATGTTGGAAGCATGGAGTTCATTGAACTGACACCCCCTCAACCAATTAGGAAAACATAATCTCAGTGATTCCACAAATGGTATGTTGTTGAGGATTAAGAAGGAAGTGGTTCATCACCCATGTTGAGGATTGCATTTTCCAGACTAAATATAGAGTTGCAACCTTGACAGGAATTCAGTACTTATTCGGTGGTGTGATAACAATCCTATAGAAAGTAGATTTAAAATTGGGAGAGATTTGGAACTGTTATTCTAGAAGCAATATATGTTTTAGTTCCCTTTCTGTTCTGAAACACATGATGGTCCAAGGCTCTCAGTGAAGCCATGGGTGCAGTCTGTCATGTGGGGTACGTGAAGGACATACCCATGTGGACCTGTACTGAAGAGAAAGGATACCTCTTTGGGATCCTAACTGCACTTCTGTAATATTCTCAGTTAAAACCTATCTCTATTGAGATCAACTGACCCCCTCTTCTGTCTCTTATTCTTACCCTTCACCAGCACAAAACATGGACATGAAAACTGCCTGTATTGAGATTGTGTTCCTTTTCCTCTTTGCAAAGCTGTTTGCTGAGGAAAGCTAACCAACACTGCAAGACCTCTGACCCAGAGAGTACAATTCAAAGTGTATAAACTTCAGCATATGACAGACAGTTTGTAAATCAGGTTCTTAAATTCTTTTCTTGTGATAGGCAGGGAAAATATATATATGTGATATGTGTAGCAGGACTGGGTTGTGGTCTGATGAGGGCCTGTGCTTGCTGCTACAGCCTTAATGGTGATGTTTTCATTTGAACAAAGGCACGGTTTTATGCTCCAACAACAATCTTCATTGATGAGATAGATTCCATCTGCAGCCGCAGAGGCACGTCCGACGAACACGAGGCCAGTCGCAGAGTCAAGTCAGAGCTGCTTGTGCAAATGGATGGTAATGAGTCCTTACATCTGGGTTTGGGGCTGGGGTGTTGTTTCTTTACAGGTGGGAATGTAAGAACTTGAGCCATCTGGAAAACCTAGTTTAATGGATAGGGGAAAAATAAGGCAGAACTTGAGACCAGTGTATTTTTGGAGTGTTCAAAGGCAGATAACTGAGAAGGGTGTTATGCTTTTTTTTTCTAAAATGGCTATTTTAATGGGGAATTGAAAACTCATGTTAAAGGACTCTAGGAGAAGCAGATAATGGAGATTTGTGCAGGTTAATGCAGGGATTTTATTTGTATTCAATTTAAACAAATTTCTTCCTTTTGCTAGAGCCTCCAACTGTGGAACCCCATTGTGAGATCTGATTTTGCTGTATTCTGTGGTGGCAGCTAATATTACCCTTTTAAGTCAGATTTAATACCTGTTTTATGCAGGTCCACACAACAGGGATGACCATCTGAGGAATATTGTATGGTTTAGAGGTTTGAAAACTGCCTTTATATTGCAGCTATTGTTTAACTGCTGTTTAAAATGTTCTCAAATGTGCATGTTCATTGTGGTAAACTCAGGGTAAGAAACTTTTTGCCCCAAAGTGTTAATTTCTTTGCAGTCCTCATTTGGTAAGCTGAGTAGTGATTCCTGTTTCTACCATGACCAGGTTTGACAGAGGTAGTGCTGTCAGTGGGACTAGTAGGGCTACACTCACATATGGCTGTGTTATTAGTAATGTCAAAGAAAACCCTCCCCCGACTCAAGAGAAGATCTCTCTGTGATAATGATGGTCTTGTGTCACGTAGGCTATGGAAAGTTTGGGAAGGAACACTAAGAACTTTGGAAAGGGATGCTAGGACTATATGGAGCTGTTGCTTAGCTTTGTGCAGGCTTATACAATGTTTGTGCAGTGTTTCTCAGCAAGCATCTCAATCAATAAGAGCTTTGGAGTGAAATTGCTCTGACTTGTTGTGCTTGCAGGTGTAGGTGGTGCTCTGGAAAATGATGACCCTTCCAAGATGGTTATGGTATTATCTGCTACAAATTTTCCGTGGGATATCGACGAAGCTCTCCGACGGAGACTGGAGAAGAGAATTTATATACCTTTGCCCACCGGTATGTTTGATATGACCATTTTCCTTTCAAATGGTCTTTGCAAGACAAATTTGGGATTACTGCAAGAATGATGGGTTTGTGAGTAGTCTTGATGGTTTTTGTGATGAGCAGTGAAATTCAGGGGTTAATGTTTGTCTGGGTTCCTTTATTTTTAAAGAGAGTGAGAGAAAGGAAAAAAATGCTTCTTGCTTGGGGGCTTAAAAACAAAGAGCTGCGGCATTTCATTGCAAGTCATTGTTGGGTTCTTATATTTTGAAAAAGCGTTAGTTTTAATGAGCCTGGAATTATTTTAATGTTTAACAGTCAGTACTTGAGTGATCATCAAAGGCAGCTTTTGGACATGTTCACAAATATTGCAAATGAACTCTGTGCCCTTGCAGACAAATGCAAAGAAGTGGATCCATGAATTTTCACATACAGTCTTAGTTCATTGCAAATCACTGCTTGCTCACCTTTATTACTGTGCTTTGAGTCACTCAGAATGCAGCAGGCCGACTGCTTTCCTGCCTGAAGACGTCTCGGCTTGTATTGTCTTTCCTAGCTGTCATTCACCTGTCCTATTAATTTTCAGATTCCTATCACTTGAAGTTTGCATAGCTTCTTTTCTTCTTGGTACAGTGGATGCCTCATCTCCCTGCATGAGCACTCAAGATAACAAGATGCGTGTTCGTGGTGACAGTGGTTGAGATTGAGTTTTGCAGGTCTAAGGACACTTAATAATGGTACAGCTTGTCTTTGCAGCTTACAGGCAGTAACAGCTCCTAACAGGATGCCTGTCTTTATGACCAATTAGTTTAAAATCCTATCAGCTCTTCCTCTTGTTTCTAATTAAACCAGATTGTTTTTTGACACAGTGTATTACACCCTGGACAACATAGGAGATGTGATCCGGTTTTATTTCCAATCTTAGGTTCTGTTGCATTCTATTCTGTAAATAAGAATATTGTGCTGTTCTGGGCAAGTCTGAATGATTCATTTATAACTGTGCTGTGTGATTTGACATGGTCAGGCATTTTAATTGAAAAAGTGATATGTCATAGATACACCTGTATTTTGTGGAATTTTATGCAAATATATATTCTGTAGTGTTTAATTTTCAAAATACAGCAAAGTCTTCCTTACCCCATAGCAACGACTAGGAGAATGTTCTCTGATGCACGTATGCCATATGTATGTTGTGCTCTGTAAATAATAAATCTCCATTTTATAGTTAGTGTCAGTTGTATGTGAGGGATAAGTCTATGCTCTTGACAGTAATGCAAAGCACACAAAACCAGCAGCTTTAGAAAAGGTTTCTGTTTTCTTTTATTTTCCCACCCTTCCCCAAAGTAAAAAAAAAAAAAAAAAAAATTAGGAGCATCAATAAATAAAGCATCATGTCTTTTATTGGACATTTTCTTAAGACTTTTAGCCTTTCCTACTGCTACTTCTTCTGTTGTGGTTGTCCTTTTTTCTAGGTCATAAAAATTGGTCACTTGGGGAATAGTGATGCTGAGCTGGCGTATTTTTGCTGTACAGTAAAAGCCAGGAAACCATTCGTCCTCTTTTACCACCCTTGTGCAGAGTAACACTGAGGCCTAAGCTGTCAAATGTGAATTCCCTCTTATAAGCTTAGGCTGCTTAACATATGTACCCAAATGCACATATGCATATGCCTTCTGCAAGAAAAATGGTTAATTGGCTGCATAAATACTCATTTACACAACTGGTTATCACTGTGTGCACACTGTGTCCAGGTATGAAAGTGGGATACCAGAATATTTGTATTGTAAATATGTTAATATATGTTTACCGTATTAATGTAGTCTGTTTTCTGTTGAGCTTCAGCAGCTTTCTTGGGTCCTAACAAAGTGAAGTGCTTAAAGATATGCTTAAAGTTCAGCTTATTGTTAAGCAGTTTTGCTGTCCGAAGCTCTGTTAATACAATCATTGTGGTTCTAATGAAACTGGGTGAATAATATACAATCAAACCCTTGAACAGCAAGTTAATTCAAAGGGATGTGAGAAGAAGCAGACATTTGTAGGATTGTTCTTTTGTGCCTCTGGGTAGTATGTGACTAAATGCTTTATCACCTGAGACATAACAGACATTTTTAATGACATATGACTTTGACAAATATCTCTAGACCATGCTGTTTTAATGTACTGCATTTAACTTTACTGTATTTGATCACACACTTTACTATGCCTTGTTCTCTCTGTTTTCTTTTCTTACATTGAACTCTTTTGTTTGTACTTTTCATGGAAAAATTTGTGTTTATATTTTCTTTTAATGTAACTCTTGCAAGTTTTCAAACAATTATCTTTATGTTCTAGCAAAAGGTAGAGCAGAACTACTTAAGATTAATCTTCGCGAAGTAGAACTGGATCCTGATATCAGCCTTGAAGAAATTGCTGAGAAGATTGAAGGCTATTCTGGTGCTGACATCACTAATGTTTGCAGGTATCTCATTCCCTTAATTTGTAATTAAAACTGCATGAAAAATCATCATTTGCATTGTATGATAAAAGGCAATACCGACTACAGCTGAAGCCATGCTAACAGTGTCTGGTTTTGAGACCCAAATCTTTTTACTGGAACCATGTACTACCATCACGTGGAGCCTGTGAAATGTGGTTTTCTTGGATCTGAAGAGAAAAAAATTATCTGAGCAAATCTCCTATTACTGTTGGCTGCATTTACTGTAGTTGGCTGCATCTGTTAATGTAGTGCAAAACAGGTTTGGATTTTTATTTTTTTTTAATCCCATTAGTTTAAGAGCTGGAATTTTCTAAAGTAAAAAGCTCCTTTCACAGAATACTTCTCTGGGGCTTCTGTATACTGCGTATTTGGACAGACATCAGTGCAGCACAGTCTTGGTAACTGTCTGAATCTTCTAGGTGTAAGGGTGATACAGATAGTTTATAGCATTAGAATTTAATTTATTACCACCCTGTTCCCACAATTTATTTCATTTTTAACAAATTAATCTTTTCTGGTGAAGGATAGGTATTTGAAGAAAATTATCAGAAAGAAGTCTATGTCCCTTAAGAGCTTTCTCAAGAAAAACTAATCCTGTAAGACCATGGCTTGGGAATTTTTTTTTCTTCCCCTGCTGCTTTTCTGAAAATGTGAAATCACTCCCTGGTTTTGAAAACTTGGTGTGTCATGTAGTAATGAAATTACCTGTTCTCCCTAAGGCCTGTGTTATCCCTTGCTGGGAAAAACCTGGGGCAAGAGAAAATGTAATTTCAGACTGCCTGTGGGCCGTGGTGTGAGAAAATGAGCAGTGTTCTCCATGCCAGTGAGCCGCGCTGGCAGCATCTGAGCTGCGGAGGAGTCGCAGAGCAGGCAGGGCATGAGAAGCCACAGACACAAACAGCCTCAGCACTGCAAGGGCAGGTGATGCTGTGTCTGATCCCTCTTGCTCTGCTCTTCACAGATTCAGGTGCTATGGGTGAGCAGGCAACTGAACTGGGCTGCACTCTGAACACTTGCTGACTGCAGGGAGAAGGTTGAAATCTAAAAGGAATGGGTGTAAAAATTCAGACTACTTTAAAAAAAAAGTCTTTGAGTGCAGTTTGTCTCCCACCCTGCCCTTTCCTGCTCTGAAGTTGTAAAATTTCATCTCTATGAATCATTGTAAAAGGTTTTCAGTTTTATAGTTTTAATTATCTCTGCACATTTACCATATGCTTAAATGGGTTTTGGTGCCAGTGCATTCTTTATGTTGAAATAATGTAGTGATCTGGGAACATGGAAGCTAAGAAAGATGTGAACCACAGCTTCTATGGTAAATAGATGATGTCTAAGTGTTCCTGCCAGTGGTTTCTAGCAGAAGAATACAATCAAAATTCATAGGCTTACAGCACATGCTGCTAGCAATTAGCTCCCATACGTTGTCCTGTATTTCCAGGGATGCATCTTTAATGGCAATGAGACGACGTATTAATGGCTTAACTCCAGAAGAGATTCGTGCACTTTCTAAAGAGGAGCTTCAGATGCCGGTAACCAAGGGGGACTTTGAGCTCGCTCTGAAGAAAATCTCCAAATCTGTTTCTGCTGCAGACCTGGAGAAGTATGAAAAATGGATGGCGGAGTTTGGATCTGCTTAATCTCAGTGACAGTTTTCCTTTGCTGGAGTTTTATGTCTTTTGTTGTTCTCACTTGCAAAATGAGTTAGAAATCTTTTTAAAGGTTTAATAAAAGGTCTGCCTCTGCTCTCATCCCATCCCCTTCTGGTGACAGGATCTTTTAAACTGTTTGCCTTTAAAGAGAATGAATACAATAATGAGCTGATATTGTAAAATACATTTTATCTCTGAAATAGTTAAATAACACAAACAGGAAGGGAAAAATGATACTTATGAGGGCAATCTTTTGATTTTTCAAATGAGGATTAGTGTTACTTAACTTCCTCAGAGTCATCTTTCATGGCTGGAATCAATTAATCACCTGGGGGATGTGACTCCAGAGAAACAAAAAAGGGCTCGCTGTACACCCTGCTCTTAAGTGCTACATTGCTGTTGAGCTGCTTCTGCCTCCCTTGAATGTGGCTTCCAATGTTACTATTCTCTCCCTCTGTGCTTGGATATTCAGAGCAAAGCCTGTGGATTAATTGGCATTACACAGAGGAAATGAGGATCAGTTTTCCATCAAGGCATGGGCTTGTCTCTCCTCTCTTGTACACCCATTTGGAACTGATGTCACTTCAAACTGTAGTGGTTTTACCTGTGATGACTTCTGATGGAAATGAGAGGAGAAGAAAAAGGCATTGATTGCTCTCAGTCTGGTTTATACTTGATCTCTGAACATAGCTTGAATGTGTTTGACAGTAGACACTTTGAAGTTTGACCAGTGGGCACTTTGACTTAGGTTATAACTTGCACTTCCATGCTTGTATATTATCCTATGCTTTGTCTGTGTTATCTAAATGTGAATGTTATTGTTTTAATACTAAGAGTTTAATACAGTAAAGACACTAATTTCAAGACTGTATTTAAAACTCAAGACTATCCTTAAAACACGTGGCTGTGAACTTCCACTTCTGATTAGATATGAACTCTTTCCTAGCTTTACTAGGCAATGGAACTTGTACCTATTTATGTTGTAGAACTGCTCATGCTTTATTTTTTTTAATGAAGATTTCTTAAAAATGTATAAATATTAATGATTCGGTAATATTTAGAAACTAATCTGTACGATTTCATTTATGTTCTTAACTGTTTTTTCCCTTCCCTCAAACAAGTGCAGGGATTAGAAGGGTTGAGTTATAAATTCTAGCATAAGAAATTGTCTCTGGAGTCCTGTCACACTGACTTATAAGAGCTTTTCACAGACTCAGACTGCAAGTCTGACATATGAGGGTTTCCTGTGGTAGGAATGTGAAGGGGTGGTCAAATGATCGAAATTTACAGAGGAATATGCAAGCTCTCAAATTTTTGGTGAATTTGTGAGCTAGGCCTGAAGCATCTTGGTGGATGTATACTGCCATGCAGTTTGGTAGGTATTCTTCCCTTCAGCTCTCTGCTGAGACTCCTCGTGGCATGGACAGATGAGACGAACTGGAGTAAGAAACAGCAGCTCCTCTTGAATGGGAGTATATCCTTATTTGCGCCTTTTTACTAGTTCTTGGAAGTTCCCAATAATATCATACACTCAGCACACTGGTCTCTTGGGTGATGACATGTAGACCACTAAGGCAAAAACCTTAGATTATGTACTTGCCTATTTTTCTCAGGGAAGTGGTAGAATCACTATCCCTGAAAGTGTTTAAAAAATGTGTAGATGTGGCATTTGGGGACGTGGTTCAGTGGTGAGCATGTCAGTGCTGGGTTAACGGTCGGACTCCAATGATCTTAAAGGTCTTTTCCAACCTTTATGATTCTGTGATTCCTCCCAAGGAATAACTGGACCTTTATAGAGAAAAAGCTTCGAAAGCATTGATATGGTCTGTCATTTCTTCCTTACAGAAGCTGTAGACTGAAGCAGTTATTCTTTGTTTGTTTGTTGTACTGCAGTAGAAATTAGTAAAGCTACGCACATCTTTTGTGGCCAAAGCCAGATTAGCACTACAGGGTCTCTCACTAGAGAGGCCATTGCTGGCCAAGGAGCCTAGTCCGCACAATCAAGATGTGGAAGGGAATAGATATGAATGCCAGTAACCAACCCCATTCAGCTGCCCAAGAGCAGTGCTGGGATTCAGCAGTTGCTGCTTAGTAGGGTCTAAATACAAGTTTGCTCAGTTTCACGTTGGAAGCAGCAGTGACCTTCCTGCTCATGAAAGCACAACCCTTGGGAAAAATGTTGGTCTTTAGCTCTTTGATGAACCTTCTACCTTAAGGCATTAAACTTCCCTCTTGACTGTTAAGCAAAATTCACTGTACTGGGCATTCCCTTTAGTAGGAATTATTCAGGTGCTGCAGTCTTTTTCTCTAAAGGTGATGGTTTCTACCCCAGATATGTTTTTACTGAACAGGTCCATTCATCTTTTACAGCTGCAGAACAGAAAATTGGAATTTTTCAGGCAGTAGATGTTTATGATGGTTGTGCCCCAGCATTACACCTGTGACTTGGGCAGGGCTAGATCGGGTACCCCAGAAGAGCAAGACCATCCTTTCTCTGCTGAGACCTTCCAGGATAGGGATCTGGCCCTGTGTGCTGACCCTTACATCTTTACCAAGTCATGCTGGCACACTCACCTAGGTGGGCTGGGGGACTGGGTTATTATCTCGAGGGGAGCCAGCAGTGGGGTACAGCAAGGAGCAATCTGAGAAGGGCAGTCAATGGTGGCAGCAGCTTAAGGCCCGAAGGATGAGCTTTTGGTTCAGAGTAAGTCCAGTTCATGTCCCATTGGTGGAAACCCTTGTGTAAGGATGTTGGATTCCTCAGAGGGCAATGTACGAGCATATCACAGCCTGCTGCAACAATGTGTTCAGTCTGCATCTGTGTGTGGAGACCATGCGCACACGTGTGGATGCATATATATTTATATATATACACACACACAGTGAGTGGTGCTTCAGTAGTTGTACCCAAATTGCATAAAAAACCATGTTTTAAAGCTGTGTTTACATGTTTTCTAAACATCTGCGAAGGCCCTCTTGGGTGGCACTGTAATTTTTGTACAATATGCAATCTGCTTGTATGAAGTAATAAATGTACGTGCAGAGTCTGTCTGTCTCGCTTGAGTGGGGCTACGAGTGCTTTGGTGATAACTGTTTCCAAAGCTTGCCGTATAATGCAGATCTCTTCAGCATGTCATGGTGCTGTTGGACTCACTAAAGTCCTGGATGGAGAGCAGTTAAAGCAGAATGAGTCTGGGTTTTTTGGATAACGCTGTCAGCAATGCTTTCTCTCTTAAACTGGCCTTTTGTTGCCACGAACTGTAAAATGGAGAACGCTCCAATGCCCGGCACATGCAAGCAGGGTGGGGGAGAGGGGGGCAGAGGTCCCAGCAGATGTTCAGTGTTAGCACCTGATTCAGACCTCCCAGAGCCAGGCAGGCTTTTTTACTACGTGCCCTGGGGCTGGAGGTATAATCAATCTCCAGAGAAGCTGTATCATCAGCTGCCTGCTAACCAGGAGACTTTTAAGACCAAAGCTTCTGTTAGGAAGGAGCTTTCAAACTTGGAAAGACACCCCGCATCTCCTGGGACTGAGTTGATTATTTGAATATTCTTACTAACTTCCGTATGAAAGAATGTGTAGTTTGCAGTGTTTCATAATGCCTCAAACATGAAAGAGAGAGCAAGGGAAATGCTGATCAGGGGATTTCAGGAGAGGTTAAATCTTTGCATAGAAAGTTCAGCTCACCCCGGTTTAAAAGAGACTGAAATAGGAAAGGTGCACTGACTTGTTCTGATCATGGAAAAGATGAAAGAGCTTGTGTGCTGTAAAGAAATTCTCCATAAAATGAGCAAAGACTTCACGATGCAATCCAGGCATGAGAAGTAGGAAGCAGCAGAAAAAATAGTGCATTTTTTTTGTTCTGTTGTCGGAATAAGCCACCCTGAATCAGATTGGGGATTGAGATTGTTTTCAGATCTGTAGTGACAGATAAGTACCTTATGAACATGCAGGTGACACTGTGCTGCTGGGGAGCAAGCAGGGAGCCTGCGAGTGCCAGAGCTACACGCTGGTGTATACTGAGTGCCAGCACTGTGGCGGCAGCAGAGCCCACTCTCTGTGAGCTGCCCACCCAACAGCGCTGTAGGTGCGGAGTGGAGCCAAGCCAGGCAGGAGTACTCTGAGTAGCCCTCTGATAGAATAAAACAGACTGTGTAAAGCCACCCATGCTGGTGATAGGAAAGGCAGAGAGATGCTGCATTTCAGAGAAGTGGCACACATTTTTTTTTCTCTATTCACATTAAGTATTTCACAAGAGCGCTGTGCAAAAGCTCGGGTGTGGCTGTGGATGCCTCAGTCACCTGTGCTCAAAGCCTGGCTGCTACGCAAGCCATGGCTAACTGAGCTGCAGCAGCAAGTGATGTTCCTGTATCCCACAGTACAGGGACATGGAACCCTCTCCACCTTCTAAGCCAGCCTGGTTTTGTACTCTGCTTGTGACCTGTTCTTGTGACCCACTTACCTCATACGCGGTGGCTCAGTACCTCTAATAGAGAAGCTTCTTTTGTCAAAGCACTACAGAGCTGTCTTTTGATCAGCTAAAGCACCGTGCTTCTACACATGCATCTTGGAAAGATTCAGGCAATCTTCCTCTTCTTTAGGAAGCATTAAAACTAGCATTAAAAGCATTTGGGATGAAATGTCCTGGCTAGGTTAGTTTCCGAATGCAAGAAAACTTACCTCAGCAGACAAGGAGGTGCCATAAGGAAAGTTTTGTCTTTGTTACGAAGTGGCAAAGTACGGGGATGTTCCCATTCCTATTGCACAGGCAGAGTTGGGGTTGTATTGTGTCTGAGCTCTGTTTTCTGTCTTTTGTGTATCTGTGATTTCTTTACTGTAGTAGAAACTTTTTTCTCTGAGTTAGGGGGAAGTTGTGGGGTATTTGTTGAATGTCTGGGTTGAGTTTTTGGAGATCACCTGGAGGTGCTGGGCCCATTGCCAGCATGCTTACTTTTGGAGAAAGGCATCATGCATCCTGCCTGGCTGCACAGTAAGCAGTGTAGCTTTGTGAAAAGTCACTTAAATATAATATTTAGAATATTCATTTGACAAGAGAGAAATTCTTACTGCCAGTTTGCAACTGTGCTGCTCTCATTTATAAGCAGCCCCTTCCGTATGTTGTTCAACTGATGTAAAAGAAACTGTCTTGGAAGTAAGAGTTTTTTGAACTTGACTTTGGAGGAAAAGAAAGGTAGGAAAATATTTGCCTAGAGGAAGATACCAGAGTACCCAAAACACTGAAAGCTGAAATTTCTTCTTTTTGTGGCTTTCCTTTTTGTCTAGCAATTGCACTGCTGGGTTGTGTTTTCTGGTTCCAATTTATTTTGAAATAATTACCATTGTTTATCCATCTCTCAGACAGCCTTTGCAGATGATTCAGTTCCACAGAGCCCTCTTTTGCTTAGCAGTTGGTATTCATGCACAGCATGTTGTGTGACATCTCATTGAACGGGCTGATGGCATGAGATCTTCCTTGTGAAGTAAAGGTCACCCAAATGGTGAAGGTGAGAGGAACTGTACTGAATATCAATTGGACTTGCAGTAACAGAATCCATAGCAACTCTACACAGAGCTTATAAATACAACCTAGAAGGAAAAGGGAGTAACCTTAGGGAGATGCTGATAACACCGCAGTGTGCATGTTGATAGAAATGGGGGTCTTTGCATCTTCTAGGTAAGAGGGTGGAAGTGTCTTGGTGAACAAAGGAAGCCAACTGCAGGCACTGCCAACAGGTTTCGTTACCCAGCCTTGCTGCTTAAAAACATGGCAATGTCCAAAGCTGGTTTGTTACTACTGCTACAAAAGCTGCCTTTTGGATGATCAATTTGGACTTCGTAATAGCTTGCTGCTTAAGTTGAAATGTCTTCAAACTTTGGCATGTGCTGGGACTGGAGCGTGTTTGGAGGGCTAGAAGAAGGAGGGAATGTTAATAGTTGTGCTGTTCTGTAGGGTCCTGGGGCTTTGTTGTGCTGGGTACCATTTGGCTGTGCAAGGAGAGATGCTGCAAATGCTTATGGGGAGTGAGATGGTAGAAGGATGAGGAGAGAGGTGGAGAGAGGAGAGAGGTTGTGGAGTCGGTGGAGGAGACAAAACTATTCCTCTGACTCCCAGTTCCTGACCCTAAAGCATACAGTAGTAGTTTTCAGTTGCTTTTAATTTGCAGCCTCCTAGTATTTTTTTTGTTCTGAGGCTGAAGATCCCAGTGTTGTGAATTGAACAGAGCAATTTTGGTTTTCCTAAATACCCTCTGCAGACCCTTAATAGATGCTCCTTTGGGCTCCTTTGGGAGATGGTGGTTTGAAAAGCACTGGCCTATGTCATCCTAAGCTTGCCTGAATTTGTTATGGAAGGGAGTCTATAATGGATGCTGTTGATTTTATTTTCTTATTGTTAGTTTGCTCAGAAAGATAAAGCTCAGTGGATGTGAGGTGCTTCTGGGGAGTTTATTTTTTTCTGTGCAGATTAACATTTCATCAGCATATGGCACAGCCATTTAAAATAAATATTTGGCTTTCCTTGATTTGTGCTTGTGTAGAAAGGTCCCCGCGTATGCATATCTATCCCTCTGTTGTATCTAATTAGAAATTTCCACCGTGGTGCTGGGGGACCAGGCTCCTTCCACCTCACCGAGGAGCCAAGAGCTGTGATTTGTGTGCTCCTGCCCTTGATGGATCCACATGCCGCAGCTCTGGGGAAGTGAGGCAGGCAGGCAAGCGGTCGCCCCCTTCCCTGGTGGGGCTGCCACACCGGCAGCACTGCTGGGTCAGTCTCCCTCTCTAGACCATGGGAATTTAGATTAACTTAAACTGGGAACTGCCCAGCTTGAGCAAATGCTCGGCACCCTGTCTAGGATCACCTCCTTCACTTGCCAAGGCAGCTGTGCTTTTGCAAAACATAGCCCTGAGTAAAGAGTGTGGGAGCAAAAAACAACAGCTGGGGAGATGCTTGTGGAGGAGGGGGTAGGACGGGATTCTGGGCTGTGGCCCTGTGTGCCCAGCCATGCCAGGCAAGGGATATCAGTGGTGTAGAGAGGGCGCAGCATTTCCCCAGGCATGCAGTATGGATATTTTAACACAAAGGATCTTCATTTGAAAATGAAAAGCTAATCAGTTTTAAGATGGAGTGGAGCCTGCTGCAGCCAGTGACTCAGGAGGCCTTTTCCAGCTCTGTGGCATATCCAGATGTTTTGTGTTCTCACAGATGATTTGGAACTCGTTTCCTACCTAAGTAAGTTCACACTTGATTTGTATCCATCTGATCTTGTGCTAATGTCATTGCCTAACAAATATTTCCTGCTCCCTGGTATTTATCCTACATCTCTGAATGAATGAATAGAACCATCATATAAAGCAAGACCTTCTGCTTTGTTGTACTGTATAAGCTCCTTCAGTCCCTTGAGTAAGCTGAATCCTCTTCAGCACCCCTTCTTTATGACTAAGCCTATTGTTTGTTTAACACAGATCACCAGAAGTGTACATGGTGGATCCATAAGCTGCACGCAGCAAGCTACCCAGTAAGGTAAAGAACAGAAGAAATTGCTTTAATGGTATGTTACTATAATCAAGCAAATACACTGAATATTTGGTTTTATAACCTACAGAAGAGTGGGAGACTTCGTTATATTATTATTGCACAGCAAGTGGGGCTTGTTAGATAATTGGTAGGCAGTGGGATACACAGAGAAGTGGGGAAAGATGCAGGAGTTCTCTAGGCAGAGGTGAGAGACAAGGTTTGGGTATTTTGTTTGCAGGAGATGCAGCCAGGTTCACCCAGACAATTGAGATCACATCATTTCTGGGGATGTTTGGATGCTGCCCAGACAAAAGGGAAGAAAAGATCTGGGACCAGCAAACACGCTCCAGGGATAGCACAGCCACCAGTAATCAGGGATGAATGTGAGTGCGGAGTGACAGGATGGATCACAATGACCTTCTGCCGGTCTCCCTGCCTCTGCCTTTCTCCTGTATGTGCACAGAGCCCAGGCACTCACACTCAGGTCCCTGCTGCTGGGAGTACCCAGTCGCTCTGTGCATGACACTGCTGGTACAG